TACCGATCGCAATCCCATAGAATTTGTTAACATTAGGAAAGTTAATAGCACGTAGTTGTTTAAGCTATTATAACATTGTGACTCATTAGATGGAGACCAAACATTAGGAGATAACTAATAATGTATACCTCATTAACAAAATCTTTAGTCGCTTCCTTAGTTCCAAGGTTTTTCAGTGCGAACTTTTTCCCATTGCAGTCTGCTGAACTAATTAATCCAAACCCACCTTTACAAATTTAACACTTGAAAATTAAGCTTTTTACTTGACCTGATAAAAGAGCTTGGAACCGGTTTGATTATTCATATTTTAAACCTGATTAAAACGGTTTACCATATGGAAAATAAAACCGGTTCCCAACCCTAGTAAAAAAAAAAATTAAAAAAAGAAAAGCAATAAATAATTTTAAAATTTTACCTTTTCCAATACCTTTGATAATATTTTCAAACGAAGAATACTTATAAAATTCTATGTTACCCTTTTGCAATTCTTCTTTCAACCATTCAGAATATTTTGAGAAAGACATGATCAGTTTCTACGTATTAACTATAGTCATCGTGAAAAAAAAGAATATTTATATTATAACGCGTATCACACGTACTACACGTATGTAACTCTAGACTTGAAGATGTGTGCGACATTGCAGTGTTATTTTAGATCCAATTTTATAAAACAAAAATGATCATAACGTAATACAGTAATAAATTTTATGTCACAAGGTCATAACCCATTCATAAGAGACGATGATTTTCTGATGATATTTATTTATTTTTTAAAAATAAATAAATATTACCGCAGGAAATCATTGTCCCAGTACATTGTGCATTGTGTTAGATGATATGAAGTAATCAATAAAGAACAATAAACAAAATTCAAATTAGATGCTAACAATAATACAGTATATAAAAGAATATATTCACAAAAAAGCTTTATTATAATTATATTTTTTTTCCTCTTTCATTTAATTTTTCTTCGTTGTACTAAGAAAACTGAACTTTAACTTCAAACCATTTATTTGGGATGAACCTTGTTAAGATATTAACTTTTTTAAGTTCTTAATATTAACATAAGCCTAGATATTTTAATTATTATGAAAATTTGAGCATCCGTGACTAAACATAAGTTTAAGTAGTGTTGTTACTTATTTTACGATATTTTGCAAATAGAATTAGTCAGGTCTAGGTTGGTACACCGACCTGTAGTCAGGATTTTACTGATATTAAAATTAGTCAGCAACATAGTAAAAGACTATTCTAGAATCGATTTTACTTCAATAAATGAATTTTTTATTGTCAAGGTAATAATAAGTTATCATGCAGGCAACTATCGAAGTTACACGGCTGATCCTTCCCGGTGTGCAACATATAAAAAAATTATTTTACAATACAAAATCATTCCACTAGTATATGTTATGATTATAGTCCCACACCATTTTATTTTAATCATAACATATACTAGTGGAATGCTTTTGTATTGTAAAATAATTTTTTATATGTTGCACACCGGGTGAAGGATCAGTCGTGTAATATCGACGGTTCCTCCTGTTGGCAGGCACTGCCTGATAATGGGGGTATTTAGCTAAGGATTTAAGATCAGCATAGGGAATTGAATTCCTTCGGAATTCAATTCCCTATGCTGATCTTAAATCCTTGACCAA